GGCCTGGGTTTCATAGAAGACAGACTCCATCGAGTTTCCCATGGATTTAACAAAGCAAACCTGTGAAGTGATGCAGTGGTACTGTAACAGAAGATGCCCCCTCAGCCAGTATACTTCGGTTTGTTAGTAAACAGCTGGTCGCCGTGATGCATAGCTGGTCACTATAATGCGCACTGTATAAACCAATCCCCAATTGATAAACTATTCTGCCTCTGCACTTTCTGCTTACTTATCCCATGTAAGCGCTAGACCACCAGAGACTGGGGTCTGATATTCTGGGAATGATCCCAATCAGTGCCTGTTGATGTAAATAAATCTGCCTCCAAATCCTGGTGTCATTTTTGTGTTTCTGCTTGCCATTGCAGTACAAAGCAAGGTAGATTTGGTAATTGAGAAACAATACAGGCAATATCTTGAGAAAGGACTTGAACTGTGCCTTGCAGGGTTTACAGGATGTGAGCAGATGGAGGGAACAGGGCCCAGTCAGCAGGGAGGGGAAATGTAGTCAGTGAGGGGAGAAGTCGTGGCACGCACGTGGGAAGCAACGACAGGAATTTGGATAGAGTAGTGTTTGTTCTGGTGAGTGTTAGGACAGGGGAACATAAAGATGGGCTCATAGATCAAAGAGGGTCTGAAAAAGAGGATGGACATGTCATAATGCAAAGCTAGGTGTGGTGGCTCATGTCTGTAATCCCAACACTTGAGACACTGAGATAGGAGGATCACTGCGACTTTGAGGCCAGCCTGGGTTGCATAGTGCAACCCTGTCTCCAAAAAAGCACAACAAAACAAAGTGCATAATTCAGGCCTTGAACTGTTTTTGTTTTTGGTAGCAGGAATGGAACTCATGACCTTGCACTTTCCAAGCAGGCACGGTGCCACGGAGCTATATCCCCGGCCCAATGCAGGCCTTAAAAGTGAACCCCTTGTCATGTATTCTTCAGAAAGTCTCAGAACCCTATCAATAGGGTGCCTAAATTTTCCACGCCTGTGATGGTATTGGGTTGTGGGATTTCTTCTTCCCTGCTCAATTGTGGGTGTCTTCCAAGAGAAGGTGTTTCACAGCCAGGAAGAGCCTGAGCAGCTGGGAGGCTTTGGGATCTGAGGAAATCTGGGCTGTCTGAGAGAAAGCCACAGGCACGGGTCCCCGGGGACATATCCGGAGCCCACGCACCGGGCAAGCTCATTTCTGCACCACCCAGTAGAACTGCCTGCAGGGACGGGACTACTCAGTGTCTGCGTAGCCAGGGGAGTAGCCACTGAGCTCACGTGGCATTGACGACTTCACATGTGGCTGTGTTACCAGGGAACTGCATTTTACACTAAAGTATATAAAATCTTTACTCTAGTCATTCTTAGTAATCTACTTAAACACTTAAAGAAATGAACACATCAGAAGATTTAAAAAAGACAAGTGAAATAATACAAAACAGCAAGATAAAAGATGTCACAAGATTTTTCATGTCTATGGAAGGCTGCGGATATAGCTCAGCGGCAAAAGCACCTGCCTGGCAAGCGGAAGGTCCTGAGTTTGATTCCTGGCACCAAAAAAAAAAAAAACAAGATGTTTCATGTCTCAGGTAATAAGTCTCATGTTTAGAAAAGAGCCAGGAAATTTGGGTTGGAATGATTCAACTTAGGGCTTTAAGGAAGAGGCTTGAGGCAGATTCTGACCGAGGCAAGATGACAGATAAAAATCACAAGCGTTTAGAACTTGGAGGTGTCATAGAAATAATCTAGCTCAAATGCCATCATTTTATAGACAATTAAATTAAGGCCACGGGGTTAAGTGGCTTAGTCCAACTCCTTCATCTCTGGTGGTGACAGAAAACATCGAACAGGCAGGTGCATTGATGCCCATTCAAGGCCAGATGCCACACGAGGTGAGGAGCCAAGTGTCACACTTAGGAAAGGAGAAAGTGTGCTGGAGAGCAGTGCGACAGGGGCGGGTCAGTGGAGCCACCGTGCATGGGGACATCCATGCGTGTAAGGGCAGAGGGTCTGGGAGGAGAGTGACGAGAGGGACTGACCCTGAAGGGCTTGAACGCAAACCTGAAACTGACCAGCTGGGCTAATCCCAGAATTCCTCCTTCTGGGACTTTCTTAAAGTTTTCCCCTGCCACAGTGGCAGTGGTACAAACTTTTCTAGAGGCAGGTTAGTCTTTTCATGCTGACGACTACTCGGGTTCACTTGGGGAAGGAGAGGACTGAAGAAGGCAGATCAGAATAAACACCAGCATTGCTGGCCAGCCTATAGAGGGCAGGGATGGATGACTGTCATCATGGGTCCAGATCACATCTCAAAAATCCTGATGCAGTAGATTTAGGATCAGCCCTAAGGAGCTGCATGGCTTTTAAGTTCTCCTGGAGTTCTGATGATCATCCAGTTTGGAGGGGTTTTTAATTTATCTTTTTATCAGCCTATCCATTAGAGAATACCACTTTGTAAAACTGATATTTGCCAAATCTATGCCCTTATGACCCAGTATTCCTTACTTGGACATATACCCCCCAAGGAAATAAACCCTTATGTTCCCCAAAAGGCATAATAAGAACATCCAGAATGGTTACTTTCAACACCAAACTGGAAACAACCCAGCTTCCACCAGTACTAGAATGGATAAGTATACTGTGGTGTATTTATATAACACTGTACACTCTACGTGCACCAGTATGGGTGAACAGCACAGAATAATAAGCAGAAGAAGACACACGTCATGGAGTAATCACTATACGATTCCACTTATGTATGATTAAAGAATTGGCATAAATATTTGCTGATGATGGAAATCAGAATTGCCTCTCAGTGGGAGTATTGACTAGGAAGGAGCATAACAGAAATTCTGGAGTATTGGACTGTTTTATATCTCAACTGGGTAGTGGTTATGCAGTTATATGGACACATGTGACAATATATTAAGCTGGTTTAACTTGCTCAGCGTACTGAGTATATAGCTTACACCTTGTTCAGAAGAAAGTATATAAAATAGCTATTTGCACTGGCAATCCCACGAGGTTGCTATAAGAATCCCGTAGCTTTAAAAAATGAGATAAATGGAAAAATGCAGTCTTATGTTCTTAACTAGCTCCATACCTACTCTTGTTGAAATCAGTTAGATGCACTGCCTGTCACTCAGGTGACCATCAGCTTTATAATGTCATAGAAAAACACAAGAAGTTGGTTATACAGGAGCTCATAGTGATTTTTCAACTTGGGGAGGACACATAGTAACTATATTACTGAGGGCGCGCTGCAGCTTCCAGTGTGTTCAAGCCAGCTTTGGAAAGAGCTTTGCCTTTCTGCTGATGGTGAGCTGGGTCTGCTTTGAAACTCTGGGGATGAGGTCCCTGCAGCTGCATCTTTACATTCCATACCCTCACTTTCCTCTCTGTTTCCCTCCCCAAGGAGACAGTAAACACCATCTGCACCACTGCATTCATCAACCCGGAAGCCGAAATCTCGCCTTCCCAGCAAGAAAATTATCCTCATCCCGAAGTGCCCTCTGCCATTGGTAACTAGCCACAGAGCTTCTGCCAGTTCCAAAGTTTGCCAGCCCTGAATTGACACCAAAACTTCACGAGGTTATTAGTGCCTGGTGGGCAAATGTGCAGGCTAAGAGCGCGCCAAAGGCCAGGCGAGGGAATGCAGAAACCCTGTCCCACGTTGCAGTACCCTTACCTCTGGGCCGTTACTTTTCAGTCTTTGAAAGTGTTACGTGTGCTGTGCAGTGTACCTCAGGCAGCTGAGCATAAACACATGTCTGCAAATACCGATAATGCTATCTTTATTTGTCCATTACTCTACAAGGTCGGCTCACCTGAGAACTATTTGTTCCTCCACAAAATGAGAATCCAGCACCACATGCATTAAAATGTGGGAAATTTTCTTCTGAGTATAAACTTTGAGGAACTGCTTTTATGCTTTGTCCAGTAGACTCTCAAGTCTTGTGTATCTCTAGCATATAACATACAGCTGATTTTGAGATTAAAAATTTACAGTCTCTGGTTCACTGAACTGTTTTTTCTGTTACTTTGACCATTTTGCTTATACTGTGTCTGAAAGTCTCATCATTATTGTGTCCAATTTTCAGGACCCAAAAATACATAAAGTATGTTCAGCAATTTGTGTGGACAGCCTGCAGATTATTTCCTGCCTTGTTAATTCAAGCAAAGTGTCTTACTAGAGGATAAGTAAATGCTGGATAAATGTTGAAGAGTACCAAAAAATTTTAAGAATGAATACATGCAAATTTGTATGCAATGTGTTCACATAAATAACGCAGTTCACAAATACACATACATATTTTTTCCTAGAATAAACCCCTGTAATGGACTCTGTCTCCCTTAACTCCACACCAACCCCTCAAAGATATTGTACATAGAAAGATGTCAATAAAGATATGAAAATTAAAAGTGAGGCTTGAATGGAGTTTTCTCCACAGGGGGGGAAATAAACCATTTAAGTGAGATTTAGAACAGCACACACCTCTTTAGTCACAGACAGCCACATACAAAATCAGCTGTAAGAAAAGTTAAACTGTCTGAGGAAAATAAATTTCAAAGAAATGAGGCTTATTTTCTCCTCTGGGTTACTTCTGAAAGAATATTTTTGAGATGCACAGTGAGACTTCTCTGCTCTCTGAAGGATTTAGATTGCTCCTAAAAAATATTTGTGGGAGGTGGAAGCTATAGGCTACAATGGTCAATTAATTTTGCAGGGAGGGAAAAGTTAGGAAAATGCACCTCTGTCTTATACTCAGAGATTTTTTTCCTCCTCATTTGTCTCCTGTCTCCACCAGTTACTATTTCTTTCTAGAACCAATATGTCAAACTTGGTAAATGATTCCCAGAACAGAAACATGCCTGGAAAGGGATCTGAGTTCGGACAAAACTTGCCTTTACATGCACAGCCCTGTGGGTCCCGAATCAGCAACAGGGCAGCTCATTTCCAGAGGCCGTGGCCACCCCGAGAGCGCAGGTAACTTCCGGCCACTGCTTACCTGTCTGCGGACAGCGCTGTGAGTGTGAAGACAGACACCCCCACCGAGGTAAGCTGAATAAAGGGGATCAGCTTGCAGCCCATCCTGCCAAAGAGCCATCTGTCGGCCAGGTACCTGCTGGCATCCACAGGAGCGCACGTTACCAGGAGGAGCAAGTCTCCCAAAGCCAGACTAGAGATGAACAGGTTCGGCACACTCCGCATGGACTTGACTGTGCAGAAGATCTTGATCAGAGTGATGTTGCCGATGAGGCCTATCAGGATGATAACCCCATAAATCGCAGGGATGACATAGAGGATCCCCGGGTAGAACCAGTTGTCACTCAGGGGGAGATCCGCACTGTGATTGGAGGTGTTGCAGTACATGAAATGCTCCCCCTCCAATTTCAGAAGGAAACAATTACTTGGATCCATCTTTAGCCTTCTCTTCACCTCAGAGTTCCCTGAAGATGCTGTTTCTTAACTTTTGATTCCGTAATTAGGTGAAGATGCAGGTGATGGCTATGCTGGACTGTCTAACTTCTTTAATAAAAATACTCTGAACGCATATCTACTATGCTATTCAAGAACTCTCCGTCACTGTTTTGATGCTAATGCTGTTCTAGCTTTCACACAGCCAGTTGAGTCTGTGTGTGAATCCAGTAAGTTAACAACAAAAACTCAGCCCCAAGAAAGGCTTCTGAAGAAATCCACTCTGGCACCTCTTTCTACCTCTGTCCTGGCCTCAGCCCCGCTGGCTGCAGTTCACTCAGAACTTTTGGCTATTTGCACACAGCATTCTCTGTCTTTCCTGATATTTAGAACCTGAAGGTTTAAAGTGGGTAGAAAAAAACTGCACTGAGCAAACCTCAAATCCTATAGGCAGGATGTTGTGCACGTCACCGGCTCCACCAGCAAACTGCCGCTCTGCTGAAGCTAGGATAGACAGCGAATGCCAGCCCCCTGCTGGACACTTCAATCACTGCCCAACCGCCTGCCTTCTCCAAAGGAGAAGCAACGGGGCAGACCGCATTCCCTTCGTGGCTTTGCAAATCCTTTGGGCTTCTCATTTAAATACGCAGCATCTAAAGGAGGTATTTAATAAACGCTGCTAGCACTGCAGAAGCACGGGACATGTTTCTGACACTATCTCCATGGGCTCAGATGACACTCACATCTCATTTTCTCGTCTTTTCTAATACATAGGAACGGCATGTGGGGATTGCTGTAAAAGGTCTGTGTGACTTCAGAGCACACAGATGCACAGCGTGTCCGTGTGTGGCTGTGCCACTCCACCTTCTCAGAGCAGGGCTGGTACTGGGAACGCAAGCACAAGACCGCCCCTCAAACCTTCAGCGCTCATCTGGGAAAATTGGAAAGGCCAGGCCCGGAGCCTCTACCCTGGGTCTTCGCCAAGCCCTTCCTGCTCCCTTTCTGGTGAGCCAGCTAGTGTATATTCTTAATTCACAAAGATCAATACTCTTTCCTGGAAAAAGTGGGCCTTTTCTCATCAGATTGAAAAATAACATGAATTGGCATTTTGATGTAGCTATTTGTAATTTTTTAGTGAATGCTTGCTACATTTCACAGCAAATTTCCCCTTAGCCTTGAGTGGGAAATAAAGGACTGCAAAAGAGTTACAGGTCCTCCTAAGGAACTGGGGGGCTGGTAGAAAGAAGTAGCTTACAGTCGCACAATTATTAGGGAAGATTTCATTAGGAAATACTATAGGTCCTTTAAACAACAACTTATAAATACATTATAAGGAAACGTTTTCAATACTCTGTACAGCAGGCTCTTCGGGAATATTGCAGAAAGCCAGTTACCACCAACAGTGCTATCAAAGGCCTCCTTTTGCAGGATTCACGAGTAATAAAGAGACTTGTACTGGTTCCCATGGCAGAGCCCTCCCAAAGGGCCCCTAAATGTATTGCCATGGACATTTCTAGGGTGGAGGCAACACCAACATGGCTGCCATGCTCCTCTGGTAAATGTGAATGGCTCCATCTTCTCCCACCACAGGAAGAAGCCGGATGCTGCTTGCCTGGAGGCAGAAGCACTTCTCAAAGGAATTCAGCACCACCAGCAATGAGTCACTGATCACGAGCCTCGTGGTGTCCATCTGAGGCTGGCAGGATGGCTTAATGAGGCTGTCCTTGGGCTCTCGGCCATGCTGGCTCCCTCTTCTATCACCTGGGCAAGTTAGTGAGGCTCTTAAGACTCAGGCCCCTCACCTGTGCAGTGGGGATAATATGTGAAGTTAAAGAAAATGATCCTCGTGAAAAGTAAATAGTATTTGTCCCACAATGAGTACTCAATTAATACTAGCTACTTGTTACTCTTATTATGATTATGACTTGGGGACTGAAGAGGAAAGGCTTACTTTGGAAATGGTTAGAAGAGTGACTGATCCTGGATTTACAACCAAGGGGTCCCACTCATATGAGTAAGTCAGCAACTCCTCCATTCACTTGAGAGAAATTAATAGAGAATTGAAAGTTGCCAGGCACTGTGTAAGAGGCTGAGAAAAATCATATGAAGATATGCATACTTGCAGCTCTTTGAGCCCCCTGTTCTTTCTAGAAGGAAGAAACTATCTTTGCTCCAGAAAAGGTGATACTTGACCTTAAAGGGTGAGTAAGTATTTGGCAGGGCCTTTTGAGTGGAGAAAATAGTATATGCCTAAATAGAGGCATAAGGGAGAGGCAGGGCACTGAGCCAACCGCTGGCTACAAGTCCAGAAAGGTCAATCAGATGGGAAGAAAGGGAAGGCGCAGGTTGGGTGAGATTGTGATTCAGTTTTTTGGGGGAGTGGTGGTACTGGAGATTAAACCCAGGACCATCTCACTGAGCTATATTCCCAGCCCTTGTAAAAAGTTTTTTAAAATTATTATTTTGAGACAAGATCTTGCTTACTTTCTCAGCTCTCTGGGCTAGACTTGAAATTGCTATCCTCCTGCCTCAGCTTCCCAAAGTGCTGGGATTACAGGCATGTACCACCACAGCTCGACTGATCCAGTATTCTTGCTAAATTTGGTTTAGAGTTCTGGTTCACAAAGAGGACACTGAGTATGATTTCTCTTTATTCCTTTCCATGTCCCTGTGTGCTTAGTCTCACCTCTTAAATCCAACTGGGCCGTTAGTATTTCTTCCCACGTAAACTAAATGGATGCTGATAGATGTTGATTTCTCACAGCTGGTATGAGTATTGTGTTCCACAGCATTATCAAATGTTCTAAAGGTATTTTAGAAGTGAAGGTGTGCTCAGGTTGGACACTTACTATTTTCTAGGATCAAGGATATTTTAAAAAGCTAGTTAGATAATTTTGATGTCATTTCAGCTCATTAGCTCTAATGACTCCTTCTGTCTACCGTGATGGGTCATCCTCCAGCAGGGCACCAAACGCATTCAGACCTTTGCTTAGCTTTGTGTTTAGTGATGAGCGTGAGATGCCTGTGACATAGGAAAACGATGTGGAACAAGTACAATACAGCGTCTCTGTCCTCAGGGACTCCAGTTTCTGAATAGAACTGGAGCATGACTGAGCATTTTTCTTATATGTTGGCCCAGGGCTGTTACCTGTACTTTTAGTTTAATCGGTAAAGTCACATTTTCCATTCTTCTAGAAAAATTGATGCTCTGTGGGATTTTCATATGAGGAGGGTAGTGACTTGGGAAAATTTAGGAGGCTGGGTGGATTCAGTGGGACCAAAGAGCGTGGAGACACATTTGTGCCTGGCAATGTGTCTTCTAGTAGCTAGCATTCTTGCTGAACAGCAATGCACATACATAGATAGACTCTTTATAGCACGGGTAGAATTTCTAATGATAACCAAAATAAAGAGAAGCTGATGCTCTGGGTTTGTCTGACCGATAATCTGCCAGAAACGAAGGTTTGCAGAGGAGTGAAAAAATAAGAAATGAAAGATATTGTGACTACTGGGGAAGACTTTGCATTTAAGGCTTCAGGTTGGACTTTAGCCCAAGAGACAGGGTTTTTTTTTTAAAAAGAAGTCATCAAGATTGTCCGAGATACCTTACAAAAATACAAATTTTGAGGCCCTATCCCAGACCTACTGAATTGAAATGCAAAGGTGTTACCACGGTGTGCGGGATAGGTTCCTACACTTTTGTGTGTGATGATCAAAGAATTAGACATAGCTCACAACAGTAAGGAAAAGACAGCAGGATTTATTTAGGTGGTACTACACTCAGAGTGAGCAGGCTTATCCCTGTGAAAGGAAAATGGCATGAGCACCGGGAGCGTAAGATGCAGAGGTTTAAAATGTCACACTGGTTCTGGGATGCGTCCCTTGGGTCTTCCAGAGCATGACTGACAGCATGATCAGCAGGGTTCTGGTCATGTCAGCTGTGTCTCCTGCACATGTCCTTTTCTATAATTCACTCTAATAATGGGATGTACAAGATGCGGTCCATATCCATGAACCTTCAATGCGCTCCAGATGAAGAAAGGTTACTAGAGGTCATACCGGCAGGTCTGGTGTGCATGCTACCTGGTTTGAAATTTTGGTATTTTCCAAGGCAGGCTCAGGGGTCTCTACTTTTCTTATCTCTGCCTCTGTGTAGTAAGCCCTAGGACAAGGGCCCTGGGACATTGAGTTGGCCCTGGGACATTGTTCCGGTTCAGGTGAGTGGAGGGGATTGACCTATAGCTACATTTGTACTATCTATATTATAGGAATAGAACCCAAGAACTAGTATTTTTCTCATTTCTTCAGTACTGAGAATTAAACCACAGACCTTCACACTGAGATAAAGCCTCAATTCTTTTTTTTTTTTTTTTTTTTTTTTAATTTTTTCTTTTGAGACAGGGTCTTACTAAGTTGCCTGGGCTGGGTTTGAACTTGTGATGCTCCTGCCTCCTGCCTCAGCTTCCCTGAGTGCTGGAATTACAGGTGTGTATCTCCAGGACTGGCTAAGAATTAGTAGTTTTCATGAGGTCCCAGGGGATTCCAGCACACTGCTATGCTGGAGGCCAGTGATGTGGGCAGTGGGATCCAGAAAGACCATGACAGTGTGACAGTGCTTGTTCTGCCCTTTCTGCTGGCGAAGAGAGTAAACAAGGAAGCACGTTTAGGAGACTGTTGCTATGGGTTCTTGATACTCAAAATGTGCTCGCTTGTTGAGCCTGCCATGTGGACATGATCCGAAAGCTTGTTAGAAATGCAGACTCTCAAGCACTACCCCAGACTTCCTGATAACCTGCATTTTTAAAATAATCTGCATTTTAACAAGATCCCCAGGGGATTCATGTGCACATTAAAGTTCAGAATGTGCTGATCTAGGCATTAGGGAGATCTGGCAGCAATGGTTAAGAAACCAGAACAGGAACTGGGAACAGATGGGAGACTGGAATCTTAAATTCAGAGCAGAACCAGCAAATACACCACCTCAAAGCTAAACTAAGAACCACTGAATTGGGGCTTTTGGACATCCCTCATAATGGCTGAGAATTGTCCTGCACTACATGGTAGATAAGCTGGTTTGGCCACCATACAGGGGCAAAAATTCCATCAGAAATGTACAGAGCACAGGCAATGGAGAAGCCCAAGATGGTGCCATATTTTTAAAGGGTTATTTCTCAGAGAATAAATAGCAAGGGCAAGAAGGACATCACTCTGGAGGGAAGTGCTGAATCTGGTTTTGGGCATCTTGAGCTCAATGTATGAACAAGGAGATGTAAGTTAACTCAGCGGAAATGGGAGATGAAGTCTGAGGACAGAAAGGTAAATAATTAAGAGGACTGACTGAGAAGTAGAATGTTGAAAGCCAACAGTTTAAATGGATAGTGAAATATTGACAGAGAAGCCAGTGAAGTTAGGTTTTGAGGAGAAGGTCATGTGGTGAAAGTCAGTGGGTACTGAGCATGATTTCAATACTCGATTTGTGACAGCACCACAGAGAAGATTGCTTAAAAGATTGCAGCAACCCTTGAGAAGAATCAGAGATGTCAAATTTTAGTGCGGCAGCAGGAACAAACAAGGCGGATGACTCTATCCAGATCCTGTGAAGCTGAGGTCATTTCAGGTTCCCTTTTCTGTTCTCAACACTCTGTGACTTTTCATGGGGCTTGGGAATGTAGGCAAAAGATGAAAGGAGTCGGGTCTCATTTTGAGCCCCAGGAAGTTACAGAAGTAAATGTAGATGCCCAGGGGAAGTCTAGGGAGGAGAATTACCTTCTCCATCAGCCCCGAAGGCTGGGAGCACATCTGTGTGCTGGTTTTAAAGTGTACCCACCAGTCCTGGTATGCTGCTCTTTAAGAGGTGGAGATTAATCTCCCTCCTGTGGTGTGGGAGCTGTACTTAGTGATTCACTTCTAACAAGTAACAGGAGGCAGCAGGGGCAGTGTGTAACTTCCAAGACTGCGTGCCAAAGGGCACTGGAGCTTTCCTTTTTGGGACCCACCTGCTCTGCTCTAAAAGAAGTCACCTGCCATATCAGGAGGATACTCAAGTGACCCCGTTACTATGGCCTCACGGTAAGGAACTGGGCTCTCTTGGTCATAGCTATGTGTGTCATTTTGGAAGTGAATGACTGCAGCCTCAGTTGACACCCTCTCTGAATGCAGCTTCCTGGGAGCCCCTGTTATGGTTTATATCTAGATCCTCCCCTAGAGCCTCATGAGCTCATAGGCTGGGCTTTTGCAGGGTGATTAGGTTATGGGGGATTCTGGCTGGCTTGCTGTTAGGAGGTGGAGCCTGGTTGAGGTGGATCACTGGAGGTGTGACCTGGAAGGGTGTGTCTCCCTCTCCAGCTCCTCCGTACACTCTCTGCTTCCTGGCTGCCATGAGGGAAGCAGCTTTCCTCCTTCCAGGCCCAGCCCACCGTGGACTGAAACTGTGAGCCAAAAGAAACCTCTCCTCCTGTAAGTTTAAGGCATCAGTTATCGTATCTCAGCTAAAACAAACTCGAGGCAAAGCCACCCAGCCAAGCCCCTTCCCAAGTCCTGACAGGAGGTGTGATGAGTTCCCATATACCTTGCACCCACCTTCCTCGATTGTGAATTGTGATGACAGAAGCAGGGCCACAAGCCAAGGAATACTGGGACCACCACAAGCTGGAAGAAGTAAGGAACAATTTTCCTGTCACTGGGAATTAAGAAGTTTTGCTATTGTTAGACCACTGCTTTATGTTATACAGCAATAGATCACACCTGGTCAGTAGAATGGGTGGAGAAGAGGAAGAAAGACAACTGCCAAAACCAAAAAACACAAAAAAAACAGAAAAGGCAAGTTCTATAATCTGGAGCAGAGTGCTTGGGCAGAGTGTGAAGAGAAGGAAAGTATGGTCAAATCCAAAAAAGTTATGTAGACTAAAATCTATTTGTCCTCCAGTATCATCAAAGTTTCTTATCTGGATAAAATATATGGATTTTTAAAATATTATAAATGAGCCCAACTTTGTTCAGCCACCTTATATCTGGAAATTAGACAATTTATATTCCATTTCCACATCTGCTCAGTAAGCTTAGGCAAGTCCAATTGATTTAATAAACGTTATTTGTTACTGAAAGGTTCTGTGCCATGGAGTCTCTATCCAGGAAATACAGGACACTTCCCCTTCGTCTATGCCCCAGGACAACTGGAAACATCAGTACCACCGTATAACACTGAAGGCAAGCAAGAGGATGGTGTCCATCTTGGCTCAGCCATCTCATTTCAGCTCTTTCTTCCTTTCTCCTGGAGAGTCCGATCACTGCAGCCCGAGACCCCTGAGCCACAGCCCTGTGTTATTTCTCCCTGCAATAACAGATATCTAACAAGACAGCATGTTGTGCTGCTGAGTTGTATCCTTTTTTGAACATTTGATTTTGAAATAACTTCAGCTTTACAAAAAAGTTGCAAAACCAGTACAAAGAGTTCCCATATACCTTACACCCACCTTCCTTGATTATGAACATCTTATAAAACTAAAAAATTAGCATTGGCATAATACTACTTTCTAAATCATAGACCTGATTCAGACTTCCATTTTTCTACTACTGTCATTTTGTGTTCCAAGGTCCAATCCAAGATACTATGTGATATATAATCACCATGAGTTCTTAGTCTCCTCTTGTCTGTGAAAATTTCTCAGACTTTCCTGTTTTTCATGAACTTAATTCTTTTGAACAGTACTGAGTGGGTATTTCAGAGAATGTCCCTTAATTTCGGTTTTCCTGATATCATTTCATGATTAGACTGGGGATAGGGTTTGGGAGAGGAAAAAAGCATAAGTATCTTTCTTCTATCATTCTATCAGGAGATATATATCAGTGGCTGTGATAAATTACCACAATGTTGGTAGTTTAAAACAACGGGAATTTATTTGCTATTTGCTTGCAATTGAGATCTCCAAAGTCTGAAATGGGATTTACAGGGCTAAGTTCGAGTTGTTGGCAGGGCAGCTTCCTTCTGAAAGCTCCAGGGAAAATTGTTTCTTGCTTCTTCCAGCTTCCAGTGGTCCTAGCATTCCTGGGCTGCGGCCCTGCTTCTGTCATCACATAGTCCTCTCTTCTCTAAGGAGATCTTCCTCTGCCTCCCACTTCTAAGAATCCTCATGGTCTGCTGTGCCCACTTAGATAATGCAAGTAAATCTTCCTATCTCAAAATCCTTAAGTTAATTGTTTCTGCAAAATCCTTTTTGCCATGTAAGGAAACATTCACAGGATGCAAGATTGGGACTTGGATATCTTTGGGAGCTATTCAGGCTACCACGGGATGCAGGATTCCAGGGACTTATCAATGGTGATGTTAACCTTGATCACCTGATTAAAGTGGTATCCGCTAGGATTCTCCACTGTAAAACTGCATTTTGGGTGACAGATTCCTTTTAATTACTAGAAATATGATTTTAGCCACGCCTGAACAAACAGTGATGTTGACATATGGAATTATTCAACACCGCTTACTTGAAGTACTCCTCCCTGCCAGACCCAGTTCTAGATCCCGGAAATACAAAACTTTTCAAGCAATAGTCCCTGCTTTTAAAGAGCTAATCGCCTAGCTAGGGAAAGAGTTTTATATTTTGAAAGGAAGCTATTGTATAAGCATGACCAAGTATTCCTTTAAATAGTCTAGAAGTTGCTTTAGCAATGACTTTTTGTTTTCTGGTGGGCTTCAGGGCATATAAAATTAGAAACTAACATTCTTATCATTTCTGAAGTCTGATTGGACTTCCTGTGACTATTTTCCAATTTTATATGCTCTCTTGGATTCTCTTCTCAAAGGTAGAGTCTCTTCACAGGTAAGACAATAAAAATGCCAGTGGGGCTCTCATGAGAAAGCCCAGCTTTTATTTTGTTTTTAGCCAGCTTCATGGGACAAAATAGCCAGTATGCACCTCCTGAGTCCCGGTGCTCATGGAACTAAAGTGAATCTATACCTCACATTTCACCTTTTTTCTGTGACCTGTAACACATCACCATGTTCTTCTCTGACAAAAATGCTAGAAAACAAGCTTATCCCTGGATTTCTCTGCCCATGCTACTAAGACATTTCAAACTCAGAGTGGTTCCATGGGAACCCGCACTTGATATAAAACTCTGTTATGTTTACTTCTTGGAGGAGGCTCACCTTAAACTAACTCCCAATCATGCCTGAAATGTATACCCCACACCAGGTTCTTCAAGTCAAATACCCTTGAACGGGAACAGCTGAGAAATGCACGAGGCCTTTACCATTCACATACTGCAGAACTCAAGCTTCCCTTGGCCCCATCACAATAAGTGAGGGGCAGAATCCTGTTCAAACTGCTTATCGGCTACCTGCTTTTGATGCACTCATTTTAAAACTCTGTGCCTCCATTATTTCCTATACAAAAGGGATTTGAAAGACATTAAGATTTTCTCTTAACGTCTTGCTGTGAGATTTGAATGAGATCACGAATATGAAGACATCTGAAAAGATATAAAGTCTGAAAAAACTTTAAGTGGCTGTGTAGTAAGTTATTACTAATTTTTAGTTGTGATCTGGCATTTTAGTTGTTTATAAATGTCTTTATCTTTTAAAGCAGGGGTCAGCGCTTTTTCTTAAGGGGCAAGCTGGTCAATATTTGGGTCTTTGGGGACCTCAGGGTCCCTGTCTGGGAAGGAGACAATAGACAGCAGCAAAATGAACAAGCGGGGCTCGGCTCCAATAAACTTTTTTTTGTTTTGTTTTGTTTTGTTTTTTTTTTGGTTTTTTCTCCGGTACCGGGAACCGAACTCACGACCTTGTGCTTGCCAGGCAGGCGCTTTGCCGCTGAGCTAAATCCCCAGCCCCCAATAAACTTTATTTACAAAACAGGAGGTTGGTACACAGGGCAGGGTTCATTGATTCTGTTTGAAAGAAACTTACTGAAATATTTAGGGATGAAATGATATGGTAGCCAGGATTTGCATGAAAACCACGGAAAATGGAGACGTAGGAAGGGGCAAAAAAATCGGTACTGAGTTGATAGATGTTGAAGACTGGTGAAGGGTATTCGAGGGCTCATGTTATGCATCTGTCTATCTTTGCATATGTTTCAAATTCCCACTGTAAAAAATTTTACAATGTCACAAGTGACATTTATCACTACCCTGGTTAATAATGCCCACCGGGATCCATTCACACATCTTTGAGGCCTTGGCTGAGGGCTGCAAGGTGGAGCATCTCCAAAAGGACTGCGGCAGCATTCCAGCCACTGAGGTATGCATTGCCCCTGCTCCACACCATCTTTCCAGAGGGACAAGGCAGAAGTGCAAGGAGTGCACGTGCCTGGGAACAGAACTAGTTTCAGAGCGGCCGGTGGAGTGCCAGCCTAAGAAAATGCCTCTGGACCCAGTAGGGACTTGGACTGATTTGCTCTTTTTACCCTTCTCCCCTCATCTTTTCTGATTCCTTCCCACAAACACATGAGTATATTTAAAATTCCACTTGGGTCCCACAGAAGCCAAGATAGCCAGATAGATAAGGAATAGCATGGGAACTGAGAAAGACGTGGGAACACAGGATATAATGGTAAAAATAGCCAGTACTGGTTCCAGGCTTCTTCCTTGTGCTCTCCCAAGGAGTCCTTTCAACCCCCCTGTCACATAGGACCGGTTCCACCCATTTACAGGTTAGCGAATGAGTCACAGGAAGGAAAACAGCTTGCCTGCTGTTATGTGGTTAATAACTGTGTTCTGGCAATCAGGTGCTTAACCACCAGACCACTCTTTCTCTCAGGGGACAAGAGGTAGAAATAGAGAGATGGCCACTCTTCAGTGGTCTCCTGGGTAGTGAAAATGGACAGGAAAAAAGAAAAAGGTGTGCCGAAGCATGAGGAAGTAGAAAGTAAGGATAAAGAATTAGGGAGTTGAAAGGCTAGTGGAAAAAAACAAGATGGAGAGCCCTACAGCTGTGGTTTCTGTTTCTTCTTGAGCAATGGTGCCTTGTGTTTTTGCTTGTGTGTGTGTGTGCGTGTGTGTGTGTGTGTGTGTGCGCGTGTGTGTGTGTCTAGGGATATGAGCAGGATGCTCAGTTCCTGTCTCTTGTCTGCAGTCACACTTTGTTAATATCAAAGTAATTTAGGATATAGAATAGAAAGAAGCAGAGTGACAGGACCTCAGTTGTGCTTCCTCTTTTGATAAACAAGATGAAACATCCTCATGGAATCAGGAAGCAAATTATGCAACGTCTTGTTGAAAACACTGCTAGGTTTCAGGGTGACTTAGCAACAGTGATCATGCCCCCCTTTCTGATCTCATGGCAAAGAGGCCTCTCGTAGAATTAGAGCAAGGCTTGCTATGCTATTTTCTATATTCTAGCACAGCCCATTCCCTGTCCTTAGCCCACTCATGATCCCCTTGCCAATAGTGAGATGCCATCTTCCAAATGAACAGCTAACCTGTATTGTTGGGGTTAGAGGTACCTCACTCTAGCCATTCAGAAGCATTCATTCTGGCCTGGGGATGTGTAAGGTTCTGGGATTGAGCCCCAGCCCTGGTGGGGGTAGAGACAAAATACCATCCAGTCCTCTTCCTTCATTTGTAAATTCTCCTTTTATCCTAATTATGGTGGACAATGGCCTTCTTCTTTGGGCTTTATACTATTAGAATCAATCACCAAAGTATGTTTTCTTTTCTTGTCAAAGGCCTAAATATGTGGTGACTCTGCCTTTGAGAAGAGCTTGGCCAGACCCTGCGACTTTGAGGGCAACTTCAGGGTGAGGCCTCCTTACGTCTATAGCAAAAAAAGCCTGCTTGCCAAACATATAAAAATAACAGAATAGAAAGTTAATAACTCTGAGTAGTTTATAGCAGACTAGGATGTGCAGAAGCTTTTTGTTGGAGAGTCAGTGACTTCAATTGGCTGGGGAAATAAAACATAATTAATAATTTTTTTAAACTTTCAATTTGAAAAATCATTGAGGTGAAAACAATGACACCAGAAAAGGAATGAGGAGATGCTTTTGTTACTAAGCAATCCAGGAGCAATTTAAAATGTATTCTGCAAGAAAAATACCTTTCACCCTGTCCCAGAAACCAGGACATAAAAAGCCATGCTCAAGGTTTTCCTTAGATATTCAGTAACTGCTGTGAGCCTGACATGGGCAGATTCACTCCTACACTCTTCTTGCAAGCTCCAGCTCTATTCAAAGGTGTTTGTATAGAGGGATGTATAAGTGAAGAAGGGTAGGGAATAGAATGAGCATTTGCTGGATATTTGCCATGTGCCAGGCACTGTTCTAAATGCTTTATATCTCTTTGTATTTTGAACCCCATTAGGTAGATTCTATTGTTAGTCTGATTTTAAAGATGAGGAAACTGAGGTCTTGAGAGGTCTTATAATTCACCCAAGATTATGCAACTAGTCGATGATAAAGCCTGGTTTCAAACTCAGGTAATCCGTACCAGATTCTACTGCCATGGGATTTCTGAATAATTCTTGCTAGTTGGAGTCATACTGTTTAGATCTCAAAAGGATTCCCATCCCTTCACAGTTGAGAAAACTGAGACCCAGGAGGTTA